TGTTGGATAGCGCATTTATCGAGGATGGCTATATGCTATAAAACGTCACGCTACGATCAATAGGAGCTGAGCAGAGCGTGTGAAACCGCGCAGAAGTAGCTAATACGGTATAAAAAGCCATCACTTCAGAATATAGAATTTTTAAACTACTTTTTTCTCACTCAAACAGGATAAAACCAGCAAATATCAGCTTTAGATCATTAAACCAACTTGCCAAAAAATAACCAAAATAAGTTAACAAAAGCCTAAAGCTACAAAGAAAAGATCAGCCGAGTTATTGTTCCATTCATTAATATTCATACAGGAGCCTCATTTACCCGGGTAAACCAGAACCCAGGTAAAAAATAACCCACTTAGTAACTCGTTAGTTATCATCAAAATCTGTTCACTTCTAAGAAAAAAAATAATGTTAGGTTATTTGGCTCGTGCCACCAAACAAGCCATTTGCTTATAATCATACCAGTTCTTTTTGGCGATTTGGAAAAATTACAACCAAAATTGTAGTAGATTTCTTTCTTTCTTTTTTTCTAGGTATACTCAATTACTCAGTATGTAGGTAGTAGATATCACATTTTTTTTGTGATACAGGTTTTAAACACTACTGACATGCGATGAAGGAAACTATCGTGAGGAAACGTAGACTTATAATTTCAAATTAACTATAAGTTTGAAATCCGTCATCCGTTTTCAGCAGGCGTGGCGATTAATGCTCGAACCTTCGTCGTGTGAGTAAAGATTCAGCAATAGACATTTATAGGGCGATAATAGTGATGACTAATAGAGATTAAATACCACTTACAGTAGGTAATAGTGATGACTATTATTCTTTCGTTTTTTGAAGCCAGTTAAATCAAGTGAAGATCTAGAGAAGAAATAAACATTAATCACTCCATTTGGTAAAGGCAGATTGGCAATTTCAAATTCAGGTACCACGATCCCCGATATTGTAATCTCGAGACTACAGTTCATTAAATCGACGTAAGTTGCCTTCATTATAAAAATTGGCAAGAAATTCCGAATGGTGTGCATCTAAAAAACTTATGAATGGACTAAAATACTTAAGGTGAGGTTTACGCCCAATTCTAAGAAAAGGCTTCGTTCAAAGCAGCATCTGCTACCGATCTCTCAAATTGTACGTTCATTTACTGGCTAAGATTATAAACTCATAGTTCTTTGTTTACAATACTTATTTTGTTATGAACATACGGTTCAATAAATCGTCAAACCGCCTGTGTAAAAAAATAATACCAAAATATGTTGGTCAGCACAAAACTTAGAAACGACTAGAGCAATTCGGCTAAAATTATTTTTTTGGTATAGATTAGTAATCGATGACTATAAATAGGTACCTAAAGTCGAAAACAGCAACAATAAAATTAGATCACTAAACGATACAATTCAAGACTAATTTAGTATTCAGTGATCATACTTTATTTTTATTAAGGGGTTTTTTTAAGGGGGGAAAATCATCGAATGAGTGCTCCCACCTGGGTGAGGCGGGAGGAATTGTCAGACTCTTACTGACTAAAAACCACCCCGTTCCTTCTCCTGCACGTCGAGCCGGAGCCCCGGTTACCCGTTAGGTTAAAAGTCATCCAATGACTTCTCCCGCCTTGGATGAGACGAGACGAGGCTTATTGACTAAAAACCACCCTGTTCCTAAGCAATAGAGCAGCACTCTTCAAACCGGAGCCCCGGCAACCCGTTAGGTCTTCTGCGGGTCTCGGTAATCATACTTAGGATCGGATACATAGGATCAGATGAAATCATCAGTTCAAAAAACACGGTATGCCTAGGTAAAACTTAAAAACTAATGTCAATTCAGGTTTGAAGTATCTTCTATATTGAACAAATTAACCTAGACAAGTATAAATTAATCGTAATTTAGGACGTACATTATTGACAAACACAACACCCCCGACGGAACTCTATTAATAGCCATTACGGTTGTCAATTAAAGTAATTGGTAAGCACCAATTACGTATCAACTTTCTTCACATAACAACGTTGATATAACATAGAGCTTAAACTATCACACTATAATATTATAAATGTGTGGATGTTTGGATGTTTGCCCGTCAATCACGCTGAAACTACTGAATGGATTATGATGAAATTTGGTACCTATATGGGCGGCAGGGTATGGGCTGACTTTGGTGATAGAATACTTTTTATCCCGATTAAATGCTCCCATAGGATAAAATAGGAATACGCGAACAAAGCCGCAGGTAAAAGCTAGTGTAACATAATTATGTCGACTGTAGAACTAACATAGTCTCAAAAACCCTCGAGTAGAGTAAAGTGATATTGTTAGTTTAGAAAATTCAAGGAAATTCGCTTGAAATTAAGCGCAGCTTTTAAATTTATTCTACTGCTGAACAAAGGTGATGGGGTAGGCAGAAGTGCCTTAATGCCACTGTACAATATCTCAAGTCTTATTTAATATTCCAGACTCCGTAAAGTCTCAGTAATAACTGAGACTTTAAAAAAAATACTTTGCCCGACCCGGGAATCGAAACCGAGACCCCTTGCCGGGCACCACCAGATTTCTGTCATTTCACACATTTACAATAACAATTACCTTTAAGGTGTCCCTCGTAGGAGAGGGTATATCCTAATCCCCACGCTTAGGGTGCGTTTTGTGAATTTTAAATGATACCGTTGCTGTCTCTCGGTGACTGCTCTAAGTTATAGGACACCCCAGGACCAGAATTTAAAAAAATAGCAGCTTATTGACAATAATAATATTCTTTATGCATTGATTGTCCAAAATAAAAGTCTGTGTGTATATTATAATTCTGTTCGTCCTTGCGTGCGGGAGCGGCGTTCGCTCTGTTATTACGCCAGGCAGGGACTACCGATAATTTGTGCGCTAGTGATGGGAAATAACTTATCGATAATTTTTCTATATCGAAAATTAGAAACATATATAAAGGCTTTCGATTTATTCGAAACTAAAGTGACGTATGGCATAGTAGTTAAATACTACTTGCTTACTGCTTACAAGATTCAAGACATCACAAAATTAGTTACTTTAAGACTGCCTCATTGGCCGAGTGGTCGCAAGTGCGACTGCCGGGCAAGGGGTCTCGGGTTCGATTCCAGGGTCGGGCAAAGTATTACTGGTTTTTTTTTAAATCCCAGTAGTAGCACGGAGTCTGAAACAGTGCCTGGTATATGGCAATAGGCTCACCCCCTATTACATGGGACTCATAACATAAATAGTGAAAAGTGGGTGTTACATTGTACAGTGGTATTAAGTGAAGAAAGGCGTGATGTTATGTTATGTTATGCAGAAATAGTTACATCATAGAATAATAAACTCCAATGACTGTCGAAGTCCAAGTGTTACAAAATCGATTCGAAACAAAGATTGTCAGGTACTCGATAATACAAGTAAGGGGCGATGTTACCTACTTTGTGAAACTCCACCACTCGAGTTGCTATTTCAATACATTACTGGCATTACGTAGGTAAAACATTCAATAGTTCAACTCGTGGCCTTAAAGGTACGACCAATTTGATCTAGATTGAACCTAAACCTAGTAATGTAATTCGATTTTAAAGTCATTTTAGACTACACGTAGAAAATATTTTGCCCTACAAAATTGCTTATAGAAAAAGGCATAAAGAACGAAGTAGGAAAAGCAGCCGAAAAAACAAACAAGAGTAAATTCGAAACGATTATAAAATCCTAACGACAGAATCGACTTTACAAACTATTACGCTAACATCACGAAATATGGCCGACACGGCGCCAAAAATGTAGACACCCTATAAGAAAATATTTAACATAAAAACACCGGGCATCGCCCTAAATGGGGTCGGAATACAGGGGTGCCATGGGGTGGCGGAAACCCCTAATGGTAGTTTGTCACGAACAACCCACCCAAATTACCACCACGTTGAAAGTTCCTAGAAATATATGAAGGTATATGGGTTTTTTCGTCTACCGACATAATGTTTTGGGCTGTTCAGACACGCTATTCATGATTTAAGCTACGATATCTGAAATGGGTGGGTGTTTTTATAGAATTTTATGGTGGGTAATGTTCGAGACTGGTAAATTGAGGTTTTTGCTTTATCGCTAAAATTAGGTTGAAGCCCTTAACTTTCATATTCGACTTGTAAGCTTCAAATATACCTACTTCTAAGTAGATATGTTATATTTTTCTTTCATATACTGCAGTTGAAATTTGAAAATGTTTGACATTAACTACTGCATTGCACCATAACAAAAGTCTAGCGTCTTTACCAACAAATTTCCTTAAACCACCCTTTTATTATGTAAATAAGCCACCAATTTCCGAAAATCGCCATCCATTTTGCGAGTGCATTACATGCAAAAATCCAATGGATGGGTAACTACCCATTAGGAAACTTCCTGGCAACCCCAATCCAGACGTGCCACGGACTGGTACGAAAACGGTGCAAACTTATGCAGGCTTACGTGATTCGACGGCTAAGTTTGCCAAGCCATTATTGCCGATGAAAGGGTGAAATTTTCACGAGAAACCCGTACCTGGGGGTGATGGCCCCTTTTGTGGTGTGGGGTGCAATTTTATTTTATATGATTAGGTTTTGTTGATGGTTTAAGCTATCTTTATAGTGCTAAAGTTAGATTGAATAAGTTTAGAATATAGTTTTAGGTTTTAGGTATCTGAACTGAATCTTTGTAGAGGTTTTCGATTGCGTTAGTGAAAAATTGCACCTTGAAATAAAATAACTTTACAAACTGATTTATGATAGTTTCATTTTGATAGTGTCAATTCATTATTTTAAACTGTCAAACACCAAGCGGTCACCGGTGACCGCGACCTATTGTTCTTTAATTGTGTCTATAAAACCGGTACTCGACGAGTTAACAATAAAATGTATTAAATAGTTACGTAAGGGTGTAACTGATGTTGAATAGTGAACTTACTTTTTCATAGTACATATTTTTCTAATCTTATTTTAGATATACGCTCAATATTTATAACTCTTTCTTTCTTTTCCAGGATATGAACATGGAGGGATCCTCATCAGACTACAGTGACGAGGAAGTCGGAGTGCTGGCACGAGGTCAGAAGCTGTGGGTTCGAGGCGTCAGATCACATACCACTTGTGCAGACATCGTCAGGGCTTTACAAGATGCTCCCGAGGGTAATTAATGATGACTCTTGGTCTTTAGCAATGGACATCTTCTCATGGATGATGATGATGATGATGATGATGATGATGATGATTGTAGAACAAGGCAATTAAATCACAAAACGGCAGATAATTGAATACCACAGATATAAAATCCCTGATCACATGATAGAAATGGTCAGGTCAAAAATTGAATGTCAATATTTCTTTAACAGCTGGAGGTGGACTGAGCGATCACGGTGAATGGGTGCTGGCAGAACGGTGGCGAGGAGTTGAGAGACCATTACCACCAGATGTACCAGTTCTTCATGTCCTGGCTGCGTGGGGAGACGCTAGGCATGAGGTCAGTAATAATACTCTTCTACTTCAATTCATCGCCTTGATATTCAAAAATAACCTTAATAGTATGATTTCTTAAAGTTGAATGTGAACGATGCGTCACCCTAAATCTTAGCAAAATAAAGACTCAGCTTAATTCTCTAGGTTCGTCTGGCTCTTCGACGAGTCTCAAGTGGTGGAGAGGACGACTCTGGCCGAGACAGTGATGGTGGCAGTCGAGGTGGAGCTCGACGGCGAAGGCGACGAGGTCTCAGAGCTGCCACTCCACCTCCTAGAGCCAGGAGTGAGGATCCAGCGGCCAGGCTCGTATCAGTCATACAGCATCAAAGCAGAACTATACATCAACAGCTTGATAAATTAAGGTATTAGTCATTTTTTTTAATCTAAAAAGTTATTAGTCATAATACTAATAGTTTTTACCTTTTCTTCCGAGACATTCAAAAATTTTATAAATTAACTAAATTTACCTTTTTGCCTTTACAGAGAACAAGAAAAACTCATCGACCACTTAGAAGACCAGACGCACAAGAATCGTATGGAGAAACACGGCACTAATTACCTTCTCGAATCGTACTTAAGAGACCTGGGCAGGTGTAGTGAAGTAAACGACAGTCAAGCTGGTAATAGTGATAGTGGCGTAGGCGTGGGCAGCGGAACTCCTCCAAGAAGACACACGAAACACAAATCCAGACGAGAAAGACACCTAATGAGAGAACACTACTTCACAAAAGAACTAACAGACATATGCCAAGTTAATTCAGAGAGACTAATGCAAACACAAAATGATACAGACTCAGAAGCGTCAGCCGACGAACTCTCAAGAATACGAGAAGAAATTGAAATGTTGGAAAAACTAGCGATAGTCAACAAAAGGCTCCACCGAGAAGAAGAATTAGTCGTACGACTAACAGCGAAAGTTAAAAGGTATATGGACGAAAATAAAGCAAACAGTTGCGAAAATGTATCTCAAGTGACGATGTTGCTGGACAAAATTGAACAGGAGCTCATGAATACAGCAAAAGAGATGCAAGAAAATGCAATAGAATTGGCTAAAGCAGACAACGAGATTGAGAGTAGAATGAAACTCCTTGATGAATTGACGTTAGAGTTAGAAGAAGAAGAATTGCAGAATACTGTTTTAGAGAGACAACTCAATGAAGCGTCGAGTCGTCAACCCATACTTCTGCAAGACAGCTACGTACCTGTTCTAGACCAAACAAACTTAAGCCAACCATTTACCTATGGCAGCCCAGGCTATGTTCTCGACACGTTGGTATGACATAGGTTTAAAATCGGAATTACTGTCCCAAAGATGTTATTTTCAAATTACCATAATATTGTAAGTAGGAATAAGATGATTCTTGGCAAACAGACCTCAATCATTTATTGAATATTTTATTAAAACCTTAGACAAATGCCAATCGACATCAGCGAAGCTAACAGCTTCAAATCAAATCGAAAGTTGTATTACATTTTTAAACATAATGTCACTAAATTCGTTCCAATGCGTTTGTCGCTTGTTCACATAAGTCACTCTTATAAAAATATGAAATGAGAGGCAAAAATTAAATTTAGTATATAGAAAAATCAATGCAATTACCCAACCAATAATAATCCAAGAATTTTAAACAAAGAACAAGGAATCTCTCAACTTTACCTGTATCAATAATATAAAGGTTGTTTAGTTATGTTCTAGATTATTTTTAAACGTTATTTACACGCATGTATCTGATATTTTATAATTATTAATTGTATTATCTATAAGTGATTTGGTGCTGAAGCTCTTGTAGATCAACTGAGGATGTGGTACTTATTTCTTTTACTAAGAAAAAAAGAAAGAGACGTAAAAAGATTTGTAGTGTATTTTTTCATTCGAGGCCTGCCGTTTCGAGTGTCATCCGTAATACAGTTTGAATTTATGGTAGTTGATTTTAGTGAATATAATAAAATAATGTATAGAAATGATGCTGGCAATATCAAAACTTATATCAAACCCATACAATGACTTCCCTATTAATTAGAATCGGTTAACAGTTATGCCATAAGCTAGCATAGCTCCACTCTAAATTGCTAGTTCTTTCTATGCAGTGGCTAAAAATTCATTGTGTCTCTTTCTTTTTGGAACTGTTAGTAAAGGAAAGCGATAGTATACAAACATAGTTGATTTGTAATTGTATTGGTGCTCTAACAATACATCAATGGTGCTAAGACTTACCTAATGTAATCAGATGTAAGACTCATTAAGATTTAAATAATTAAAACTTAGATTATTTTGATAACTATGTCTTAATAGACTGTCAAAAACTCAATACCATCGTGAAATAAAACTGAAATCAATTTGAAAATTGTTTTATTTTTTCTGTGACAATTTCCAAGATCAAAGAAGCTTTTCATAAAATGGCAACATTAAACACTCACATAACATAACATCTCGCCTTTTATCCCCGAAGAGGTAGGCAGATGTGCACACAGAAGTAACATCCACTTTTCACTAATTATGTTATGAGTCCCATGTAATAGAGGGTGAGCCTATTGCCATATACCGGGCACAATTCCAGAATCCGTGCTAAACACTCACATTAAAAAAATAAGTGACGTTGTGATTTCGTAAGTAAATAATTATGTGGATGACAACATTTATTAACAGGAAACAAGTTTATTGTGTCATGATATTGTTAAAAAAGTAATGGAGATGGGAGTTTACCATAACATCTCGCCTTTTATCCCCGAAGGAAAGGTGCACACAGAATTAACACACACTTTTCACTATTTATGTTATGAGTCCACTGTGAACCTATTGCCATATACCGGGCACATTTCCAGACTTCGTGATACTACTAAGATTTTTTCGAAAAATCCAATCGGCCGACCCGGGAATCGAACCCGAGACCCCTTGCCCGGCAGTCGCACTTGCGACTACTCAGCCAATGAGGCAGTCAGAAGGAGTAAGCAGAAGTGCACATTACGGCACTTAATGCCATTGTACAATGTAACATCCAGTTTTCACTATTTATGTTATGAGTAGGCCCGCCACTTGCTATTTGAGCGCCCGATTGCTAATACCGATAATGCCGCCCTCTTTTTTGTTGGGTGGGTAAAAAGACATCAAAACTCTTGAGGAAGTGACTCTTACAAATCTTACTAACTAAAAACCACCCCATTCCTTCCAACACTTGCTCAAAGCCAGGGCCTCAGTACCCATATGACAACCTACTCTCTAGCAAGGCAATAATCCTGGTGGGCCCCGTCTATGGTGGTTTGACCGTCTGATGGCTCTTTTGACGCAGTCATTCAGCAGTCGCACTTGCGACCAACGAGGCAGTAGATGTTTTTCCTACTTAGTTGATATCAATATTGTTTTGGGGCCCCTCTGATACTCTCAAGAAGGATAAAATATGACTTGGGTGTCTTCAATTCCTGAATGAACAGGTTGCTCATAGGTAGGCGTGCTCCATCGTCAGCCACATCATGGCTTACCACCAGGCGAGATGGTAGCCAAACGTCGACCTATAAGTATAAAAAAAATAAAAAATATACGCATGAGGTAAAGAAAAAAAAGGGTATCGCTATACATAAAAGTCAATGGACTTGTCGGTACATAAAATTTATTTTCTATTATACATTGCAATTTATGACAAATCTTAAGTTTAAACACAATGTACTAAGCGTCACACAGAACCATTCTATATTAATTGTTATTGGCATATAATGGTATTAATCATGTTTATTATTATGTACATAATACAAATGTAAGTAAACTTATAACGATTATAAAATGCATTTGTTTTACTTATTTATAGTGCGATAAGAATACAAAATTAAAATTTAAAATTAATGTAAAAGGTAACTCTAAACGAAATCCTAGCTAGAAGCATAGTGATCATTGTCTATTCCTCACTTATCTATCACATAGTCTGGTTCATAATAATCTCCTCCTTCAAAAGTTTTCCCATCAACAGGATTCTCGGCAGTAACAATACGTAGATCTCGGAGACCAGGTATCGATATCCATTTGTAGTATAACCGCAGAGCCATGCCATAAGGACTCTTCTTCCTCATGCCACGGAGCAAAACATTCTTCGTGTTATAAACTAGCCTTTGTTTCACCTTACCTGGCTTTACCGTCGATTCCCAATTTCTATTTACTGCTCTCATCGTGCCATACAAAAATTTCGCCCATCCAGGCCTGTAGTAATACGCGACCATTTCTGACCATTGCTTACACGCATAGTCGTTAAGTTGTCCATTAGGACCCCAGGTAGTTAGCTGGTTCCAAGCATTGTGCTCATACAAATCTGCTTCTTCACGTGTTTTACCTAAATCTCTTGCTTTCTTAAACCAAGGTGCAGCCACAAAATTGGTATCAGTAGCCAGAATCATAGCCAGATCATCAAAAGCATCCAAAAATAATTCTACTGTGTCTTTATACCTACTTGTGTTTCTCTCGTCTACTAGTTTAAGAAATATCTGTTCGATTCTATATTGTAAAACTTGTCGCGTCAAATCCACTAAGTCATAACGGTATCCTTTAGAATCACAAGTGCTATTGTTGAGGAAAAGTAATTTATTCAATGCTTGAAATAGATCACTACTATTATACCAAGCCCAAGGGCTGTAGTTGAAACTAGGCTTCTTGGTCGTAATGTATGAGCCATCTATTTTACCAAATCCTTCGTAACTATAAACACTTTTAAGTAAGAATCTCCAAGCTTCTGTGGCTTCGCACCCATATCTTCTCTCTGCGTATTCAGCGGCCCACGCATTGAGGTCTTCAACGGGAGACTTGCGCCAGGCAGACTCTAGCATCAGGTCGTACACCACATAGTTCTGATTGATTCCCTCCGGAGTGAGGCCGATGCCGATCATGGTGCTGTTATCGTGCGACCGCACTTCGTACACGTCCTTGTTTATCGTGATCATATTACCGAACATGCCCAGTGTGCCACCGAAGTTGTGCAGCATGCACCAGATGAACGGCTGACCATAATACATGTTAAAAGAGTAATATTTTGGTAACCTCTCTGATTCCATATCAAGCACAAGCATTCTTCCATATGGTACTGCGTCTAAAAAAGCTTCAACTCTTTCCTTTGGCCACCTGTTGACAAACATAGAATTTTGCACTACCCAAACTGCTCGCCGATCGAACTCAGAAATCGTTGCAAAAATAGCTCCAGCTGTCTCAAGCGCTAACTCTGTATCAAAGTCAGGTAAAGTCACTTCGTTAAACGGATTTGATATGAATATGTGACAACCTGGCATGTTACCCAATTCTTCTAAAAACATCTTACCAAGTTTCTTAAATATATGATTGATCGGACTAACAAATAACCCGCAGCAGTAGTCGGTACCAAAGTTACTCCATGGTTTTACATTGTAAAACGTTTGATTCGGGTATATCCTCGAAAATTCCACAGGTACATGACCATTAAAGGCTGGTATTATAGGGACAATTCCAAGATTCAGTAAGGAGTCAATAACTGTTTCTTGTATCTGTAATTGGAGTTTATGCCACGAGGGAGGCAGTGGCCCACCCCAGCCATGGATGTTGCCAGCTCGCAGCCAAGTTAAATACGGTGGTCCAGTGAAGTGATTGTCTATTTCTCTTTGTGTCATGCCAAGTTTACGGTATATTCGAGCCCAAATAGCTTCCTGAGCCACAGGAGCCAATGTAAGATTGATTCCATTCAATGCCATCCATTCTATGTGCTTCTTCCAATCGCCGATGTTCCACCAGACGAAGCTTAAAGATACGGTGCACGTGTTCTGATAGTATCGGAATCGGTCATTTGCTACAACTGTTTCGTCGGCGAAGGGAAGGAATTTTGGAATATTAACGTTCTGGGTCTGCCACTCAATTTGGCTCTTACAGTATTTCTTGAGGTAATAGTTGAAGCCCCAAACTGCAGCAACTCCGGTGCTGGCTTTGATGAATAAAAATCCATCAGTGGTTTTTATGTTGAAGGAGTCTCTGCCGTTATAAAACCAGAGATGATTGATTTCAACGAATACTTGTTTTGAGTACCTTCGTATGATGTGCAAGGCGGCACGCTTTTGGGCGTGTGCCGAGGCCACTGTCTGTAGTTTGGTTGGATCGAGATATTCCAAATCGAGTAATGATACAGGACATGGTACTAGAAACACTGCTAACAATAAGGACCGCCACATAATAACGCTTGGATCGAACTGAGGTCTACCGTGTACTTCATATGACACCTATATTATGTTCTATGCTCCATAATGGGGTATATTGTTGTGATTGTGCTGATGAGAACACAAAGCATGGAATTGCAAAAAGGATCGTTGTATTATAAATTCCTGTTCTATAATTGATGACTAAGGCCTTATAATGGTGTACCTACCAAATCTATACTAATCTAATAAATGCCAAAGAGTGCGTGTGTGTTTGTTTGACAAAAGAACAAAATGGAACGACGAATCGATGTGATTTTTTAGTGGTGATAATTGAAAGGATGGAGTGACATAGGCTGCATTTTTGGTGTTTCTAACCCCTCAATTTCCTAAAAATGGGGGGGGAGGTGATAGTTTGTATGGAACATTTCGTACACAACTAATAATTGGTAGGTATGCTTATTATTTGTGACTAATAAAAAATATGGCATGTACCTTAAAAGACGACACCATGAGACGCATAAAGGCGTTTGAAATGTGGTGTTACCGTCGGACGTTACGATACCGTGCTTCAGCGCGTCCACATGATACGCAAAATGATCCAAATCATCAAAAAGCGCAAGATAGAATATCTCGGTTACGTACTGAGACATGACAATTACATGCTGCTTCATCTTATAATGATGGGTAAGGTGGAAAAGAAGAGAAGCTCTGGGCGAAGGAAAAAGTCGTGGCTGCGCAATATTCGGGAGTGGACTGGTGCCAGCTCTGTGGAACAACTTTTCCGGCTGGCCAATGACAAGGACCAATTCAAAAGTTGACGGCCAACCTTCAGGAATGAAGTGGCACCATAAGAAAAAGAATAAAAAATAGTGCGTAATTTTTTCTATGTGAATATTTCCAACCCCTTAAAAGTGTCGCGGAGAACCTAACGGGTTACCGGGGCTCCGGCTCGAAGTACGAGAGTACGAACGGGGTCGTTTTTAGTCAATAAAAGTCTGACAATCCCTCCCGTCTCACCCAGGCGGGAAGAGTCATTCGATGATTTTCCCCCCACTTAAAAAAACCCATAAAAGTGCGCAAGCGAAGTCGCAGGCAAAGCTATTAGTAATATATTTTATCTATTGATGTCACCATATTTAACGGCACCTGGTAATTATTTAGAACTTAAAATAGACCAAAATCTTTTAGTGTTACGAATACTAACATGCTATGAATACCTAAGTCATAATATTTTGATATTTTTAGATAAATAATATAGTTGTATATTGTGATCTAATGTAATCCTTTGTCATTCTCCCTTCCTAAAGTATTTAGGTAAATGTAAATATTATGTAAAAGTATCAAAACAGAACGACAATGAACCATTATTCTATGTATAAGTTCTTTAACCGATATCATAGATGGCGCTGGGTTTGACATAGGTACCTATTGTAGATTCACTGTAGTTGAATGTAGTCAATTTTATTTTAATTATATAAATTATATATAATAATAAAATAAATAATAAATATGTTTGACTAGTAGAAAAAAAAACATTTAAAATGAGAAGGTACATACATTATGAAAATAAGAATTGTCAAACCGAAAAAACAACGATTTTCGACAACGCAAAAAAGAACTTCACAATAAAAAAAATATCATCATCATCGTCACCAGCCTATAAATGCCCACTGCTGAGCAAAGCCTCTTCTCACATAGAAAAGGTTTGAGCATTAATAACCACTCTTGTTCAATGCGGGTTAGCGATTACAAACTACTAATTAGAAATTATAAGCCCAGGTTTCCCCACGATGTTTTCCTTCACCGTTTGTCAGTGATGTCTAGATAATCTTAGAAAGTACATATAACTTGGAAATAGTCTTATTGGTACTTGCCATTGGTAGGTTTCGAACCGCACTCTAATGCATAAGAAGCAGGCGTCTTATAATACTAAAACGATACTCAATTTTAAGTCGTGCTCAAATATCGTGCCATCTCTGTCTTTTTACAAAGAATTTGTAGAGATAGAACTATACTTAAGCACGACTTAAAATTGAGTAGCGTTTCAGTATTCCGACAGTAAACCTCCGGGCCACCACGACATCTAAATAAAAAAAAATACTCACACTTTTTTACTTCCATAAAACTCTTGCATCTGGTTCTGTGTGTTCTTCTGTTCTGTGGGTATGACCATCAGCTTCTCGTCTATTTCCAACGTCTCTTCAAGGAACACATCATATAATTTTGTTTCTCTTTAGAGAAATGAATGACTCCTATTGTGTAATCTGGATTGCCAATGGGGAAGCTAATAACAATAGTAATAACACCATATTCTGTCAATATTATAATATGTATAACATAACATAACATCACGCCTTTGATCCCTGAAGGGGTAGGCAGGTGCACACAGAAGTAACACCCACTTTTCACTAATTATGTTATGAGTCCCATGTAATAGGGGGTGAGCCCATTGCCATTCCAAGCTCCGTGCTACTAGACAGATTTTTTTTAAAACCCAGTAATACTTTGCCCGACCCGGGAATCGAACCCGAGACCCCTTACCCGACACTCGCACTTGCGACCACTCGGCCAATGAGGCAGTCAGTAAATGACTTGATATTCCATCAAATTCTGACTTATGGGTCCTGTTGCTGTAGCCAAATGCCATTTAGCGCTTGTCTACTAGTTAGAAAACTAAATTATATGAGGTTGACGTAAATTTTGACATTTTTCAGTGTCATCCACATACATTTAGTTTTCTACTTTCTGTAGACAAGCGCTAAAGTGGCGTTTGGCTAAAAGCACTGCTTCGAACAAGAAACTCCTGGCGTAGCATTCATGCTCGCTACTACCCAATAAGGCAGTTACAAGTATAGTTTGGTAATTTAGAAGGAAATATGGGGTACCCGGAAACCTTTTTGAAAGTTTTATTACAATATCTCTTCGGTTTTCTCGTAAAATACATAGGAAACACATTGTAAAAAAACTGTTTTCGGCCGCCTATTTTCCAAGATGGCGGCGCGAGCGGCGCAAGTAAAAAGGTGCAAAATGGAAATCATTAAAACCTACAAAATTACCGATTTTAAAAACTCCCGGAAATCATTCCAGATCGAACTACCAAATGACTGATCTAATAATACATAATAAAAAACATAGATACATAATAAAGAAAATGTTTATTGAATACAAATTGAAAAATAAAATAGTAAAATGCGATTATCCCTTTATTGCCTTGGCCAGCGCTCAGTCGTACGACAATATCACTAAATATAAACTCATCACTCGACTATGAAGAAAAAAGTAGTTTTCGTTTATTATAAAAATATAGATTTTATTGTTTGCATTGAATAGGCTTCGAAACTACTAGACTGATTTTAAAATATTTTCGCTATTGAAAAGTTTTCTTTTCAGTGAGTAATATAGCTACTTTTAATCCCGATATTCTTATACGGACGCGTTTATCAAAAATGACAAAGCAATTTCGTAGCCAGCTACTAGAATACAGTTAGTTCGTCTTTTTGTTTAAACACTTTGAACGCATGGACTAAATTTAAAAAATATTTTTGTGATGGATTGTCCATTTATGGGGGAAGGTTGGTTATAAAACAATTACGATCAAAAGAAGCCGAACATTAGATGAAATCGCGCAAAAGTAGCTACTTTTTTATACTTAGCAACATGTACTTATACTGCTGAACACTGGCCAAGGCAGGTCTTTAAGCGAGCAACGGGAAGGGAGACGCGAAGTCTTGGCGCTGTTGACGAAGACATTTTGGTTGCCATAGCAACGATAGAACTTGCTAGTTCTATCAGCCTTGGTAACTTCATCATCGTCAGCATCCCGGAGTCGCTCGTCGTTTACTCCGTATCCATGGCCACCTGGAACAAATAAAATGAATATTAGTTTTTTTATAGGATAAAGTAGCAAAGGAGCGGATGTATCACCTGATGGTAAGCAATCTTTGCCCAACATAGATTCAAGTGCGTTGACGGAATTTGGGGGGAAGGGGAATTGGACCTCTGGTAACCTAAACGCAAGCGATGATCTACGCTGGCTTCCTCTGAGGCCGTGGAATCGCTCCGGTCCAACCAGCCTATTCTACTTCTATTGCCTGGTAAGGCCTACGATTAGTTATAATTTGGCAAAATGCTTTATTGACGACAATAATAAAGCATATTGTATTTATTGTATTAAATTGTATTGTACTGTTTGCCTGTCTGATTGTCGACGTTATTAACCTGACTATTGTTTTAAGGGAGAATTACCATTTTAAAAACACAGGTAAAGTCTTGAATACAGTCAAAAAACTCACAAAAATATGTAGCTGTAATTTTTAGTCTTCAGGCGTAGTGGGAATGATGATAACACTCGGAAACCCTGGTGTTTCTTCATTCTCCAAGTCATCATCAGCTAAAGTAGTCCTTCTATGTTTATCTGATCCTATGACAACCACTGGCAAATCTTCCACGTCTGGAGCACACGACCATTTTCTGTGCAAATTCTTCGCTACTTCCATAGCCATAGTGAATGATCCTGTTAATGTGGAACCGCTTACATGGTCTGTCCGAGCAGTCACAAACGGCACTTCTATAGTCGATGTTATCACACGACGAGTATCTTTTTCATTGAATTCTTCACCAGCTTTCTTCGCCTTTAGAGCAGCATCCAGGAAATTCGCCCATCTCGGAAGATAATAGTATACGATCAACTCTGCCCATTGCTTACAAGCGTAGTCAGATATCTCCCCCTTTGGTCCCCAAAGCGTGATCTGGTTACGCGCATTAAATTCGTAGAAGTCTTGTTCGTCGAACGTCTTCCCCAAATATCTCGCTTTCTTGAACCACCTCGAGGCCAAGAAATGTTCATCTTGATATAATATTTGTGCCATATCATTAAGAGCATCAAGAAATCGTTTAATAGAAGCTTCATAAATAAATACGTTCGTGTATCTATCATTGACGACATTTATATAAAGCTGTTCGACTCTATACTGCAAAGCTTGCCGCGTCACGTCTACTAAGTCATAACGGAACCCAGCAGAGTAACAACTAATATTACTAACGGAAACGAATTTTCGAAACGCTTCGAATAAGTCATAGCTCTTATACCAAGCCCAGGGCTTTAGTTTTAAACTCGGCCTTCGAGTGACCACATATTTTCCTCTGACTCTACTTAATCCGTTAAAACTATAAACACTTTTGAGTAAATATTTCCACGCTTCCGTTGTTTCATTACACCCATATCTTCTCTCTGCGTAATCAGCGACCCACTCATTGAGGTCCTCGACGGGAGACTTGCGCCAGGCAGACTCTAGCATCAGGTCGTACACCACATAGTTCTGATTGATTCCCTCCGGAGTGAGGCCGATGCCGATCATGGTGCTGTTATCGCGCGACCGCACTTCGTACACGTCCTTGTTTATCGTGATCATATTGCCAAACATGCCCAGTGTGCCACCGAAGTTGTGCAGCATGCACCAGATGAACGGCTGACCATAATACATTTGATACAGATCGTACTGTGGCCATTGCTCTGATTGCAAGTCTAGTATCAGCATTCTGCCACTTGGCACGGAATTTAAAAATGATTTCACCCTGACCACTGGCCATGCAAGAGGAGCATTAACAAACATCCAATTTTGAAGTAGCCACACTGCATTCTTGTCGAAGTCGGAAAGTGTTTGGAATATTTTCTTGGACGTCTGCTGTACGAGTGCAGTGGAAAATTCCGAGGGTTCGACTTCATTGAAGGGGTCGGCTGTGTATATATGACTCACAGGCGTGTCTATAAAGATCTCATTGAGAAACATTCGACCGATGCGCACAAATAAAGGATCAAACGGATCCAAGAAAAGACCGCAGCAGTACGGGTTATCGAATTTGTTCCACTGTTGCACTTTGTGAAATGTTGTATTTGGATATATCCTAGAGAATGCCACAGGAACATGACCATTGAAAGCTGGTAGTACATGAACTATTCCGAGATTACGCATTCTATTGATGATATCTATTTGAAACTCCTTTTGTACTTCATTCCAAGACTTCGGTAGAGGTCCAGCCCAGCCGTGTACATTGCCCATTCTAAGCCAGGATAGGAACGCTGGGCCCGTGAAGTGTTGGTCTATTTCTTCTTGAGTCATACCGACTTGTGTGTAGACTTGTGTCCAGACGGCTTCCTGAGCTACGGGTGCCAATGCGAGGTTGATACCGTTGAGGGCCATCCATTGCACATGGTCTCTCCAATTGTAGATGTTCCACCAAACGAAGCTGTAGGACGCTGTGCACACGTTCTGATAATACCGGAACCGGTCGTTAGCCACCACCGTCTCGTCCACCTCGGGCAGTAGGTACGGTATATTTACGTTTTTCGTTTGCCATTCAATTTGGCTCTTGCAGTATTTTTTGAGAAAGTAGTTGAAACCCCAAGTGGCAGCGACTCCGCTGCTAGCTCTGATGTCCAGGGTGCCATTGAAGGTTTTTAAATGAAAACTGTCTTTTTTGTTAACGAAAAAAACTGGATCAACTCTCACGTTCACTTTAGCATAATATTGCCTGATGATTTCTAATGCTGCACGTTCTTGAATTGCAGGTGCGACTTGTGTTTGTAGTTTGGTGGGGTCTAAGTACTGTAGATCGAGTGAGTGCACCGCGCTCGCTAGCCAGAGCGCTATAATAATGGACCGCATGACGACACCGCTTCACTGTGACTGCCGGCTAACTACTACAACTCTATTGTATACGTCGCAGTCAATACAAAATTGACAAAATCACAAACTTTCTAAACATCTCCAAATAATGTAACTACAAACTTATTAAGTATTTATTTATTTATTGAGATACTGTCGTGCACATTGAGACTTTAAAAATGTATATCATAGGACAGAATTTGGAACTGTATAAAATATACTAGACTTAAATAATTAATATCTTCATCAACTTCTAAGAAACTGCACCAAAATTAATTAATAGTCAGTCTTTGTCAGGCAAGCCAGAGAATAGGATCCGTGGGAGGCCTGAACAACTTTTTACTACTTTTTGCTTGTAACAACAGACGTTTAACAAAATGTCTAGTTATGTGGTTGGACTACAACACTGATATGTTTAAATTGACCCCTCGTTTCATATGATAACGGATGTCAAAGCAATTTGTAACGGCCATTTCTTATCGCTTTCTTTTGTATTAACTTATTCCCAGACTTTGCTTATCAACACTTAGATAATATTATAAAGGGGTAACATTTTATTGTTTGTTTGTTTTTGTGTTGATTTATTATTTGGTGAGTACAACTTGTCATCATGCCTAATCTTTTCGTGGGTGTCGTATATCGCATATTTAACAGAGAAACTGGCAGCAGCGCTCCCTTATAAACCTGATCCTTTAAACTGCCTTTCGATAGAGAAAATATGAAACTTCTACTTTGTAGAGGAGCTCAATAGGCTACCAGTAGACCGTTATGGACTGTCAATGTGTTTTCTTTTATGAGATAAGCCGGTAAACGAGCAGACGAATCGCCTGATGGTAAACAATTTAAGTGTTGGAGAGCCATGCTTCGGCATGAATGGACCAGCTCGACCGGAGTGATACCACGGCCTCACAGAAGACCGACGTGAAACAACGTTGTATTGTGTTTCGTCGTATAAGTGAGGTTATTGGAGGCCCAATTACCCTTCCCCCCTTTCCCCAATCCCTGAATCCCCAACAATCTTTAAATTCCTAATCTGGAACACCACAGGCGTTACAAGTGCGTTATCGAGAATCGAGCGGGAATCGAGGATTGGGGATATTGGGAAAGGGAGTAATCGGGCCTCCGGTAACCTCACTCACACGACGAAACATAACGCAAGCGTTGTTTCACGTCGGTCTTCTGTGAGGCCGTAGTCCTGTTCTCCCATTGAAACTACTGAGCTTACAAATCATTCTCACCACTACAAAGTTTATTTTTAATCGCCTACTAGAAAAGCAGAGACGCACAATTATTAATTGTAACACCTACATTTTACAAATCAAAGTCCTATGTAATAGCGATCCTATTACAGGGTACCAAAGTCTGTCGTTGTTTAATTAGTAGTTAACTGCCTAGTCCCCAAGCGGTCACCGGTGAATTCTCTCCACTTACTCCATTATAGATCTTATTTCCAATATTTAGAGACTACATTTGTATTAACAAATGTTGTGGATTTTTCATAATCGTCGGAGATTTAGAAGTTAATTATATTAACTGCTCAATCCCCAAGCGGTCATCGATGACCACTGTCCACTAACTCCATTATAGATAATATTTCCGATGATTAGAGACTACTTTTGTATAAACAGATTTAGGCGTTAATATACCAACATATTAAATAGTTACACACGAAACACACAATACCATTTGTTTGACATAAGTGAAATGTCAGAAAAAGTTGGGAGTAATAGTCCAATCTTAGTCCAAAATAGATTAAAAACTATTTTGTTGACATTAGATGTAAAGAGTTTTTGTTAAAACAGAGTTTTTTTTTTATAATGGGCGGACGTTTGGCCACTATTTAGGTTCATAGTAAGTAATGATGTAGCCTACGATGGAACATACCTGTCATAAGCAACCTATTTTTTTTATGGAATAGAAGGTAAATAAGCAAATGGATCACCTGATGGTAAGCGATCAGCGCCGCCCATGGACACCCGCAACACCAGAGGAGTAACAGGCGCGTTGCCGGCCTTTTATAAATTTAAAAAATTTACTCGGGCATTGAAGACACCCAGGTTTATATCCTTCGGGAAATACTCAATTTCAGCCGTTGTTGGTTAGAATGTAAGGTTACTGTTCTCTTATCATCAGATGAAGCTAATGTAGAATGTAATGTATGCTAATACAGTCTGTTTGTAATTAAAAGTACCCATAACCGACGAGCTTGCATGAAAAGACTGATGCCTGTTGATGAAGCGAAAGAGGTATGTAAGAATCGTAGCAATTGAGTACTTGTCTTAATCAAAAAGAAACGACTGATCTATACAATCCTTACTAATATTATAAATCTGAAAGTGAGTTTGTTTGTTTGTTTGTTCCACCTTCACGCCGTAAATACTAAACCGATTGCTTTGAATTTTTGCAGACGTAAAGTTAGAAGTCTGGATTAAATAATAGGGTACTTTTTTCCTGGAAAAATTTGATGTAACCATATATATTATATTTGTATTGGTATAGATGGCGCTGTGCGTATTGCTATATGTCACATAGGCTACTTTTTATCCTTTTGTGACGCGAGCGAAGCCGCGAGTAAAAGCTAGTAAAATATAAAACAATAAACACGCTTTCATTAATTTATTTTATGACTAACTTAATTTTAGCATGTTCCAGCATTTTTTTTAAGAAATAAGTATGCTAATTACGCTAAAAAACGTGACGTTACAATACACCATTTCGTACAAAATTCATAGAAAACTGTCGTTTCTGACAGTTCGAAAAAAGTATTGAATTTGACCAGTTGGCAAGTACCCAATTGGCGTTCGAGTCTCTGCCTACCCCATGGGAGACAAGCGTGAAGTTATGTATGTATGCAGTCTGTTTGCGCAAAGATTGTCTAAATTGCAATTTAAATAATCTCGCCTTTGGTCAATAGCTGATAATAATTGAGTTGAAAATTTTACATCAAGTACATTAATAAAATGATTTCATTTCATTATCTCAATTTTAAAATATTATCCAAGTCTTTAAGACGAAACATTGTTATTGCATACAGGTTATTTTGTGCATAAACATAGGAAGCATAGCTAAACAAAACTACTTTCTATTACAATGCAGTTACAGTAGCTATTTGACTGTAGTATATAGATGACGTGACCAAAACACTATTATCACTATAATGTTTACACTTTATAATTATGTGTAGTTATTAACGTCTTTGTTTATTGAAGTTGTTAGGTAATCAGTTGTAATTTGTAGTATAAACATACAATATTATCATTTGCATTTCGTCTTTGGCACTGTGGCTAGAAGATTCGATATTAAACAAGGTATTGCGACTTCGTTTCTCACATGGGAAAAGTGTTCTTTGCGTGTGTTTTTTTTTTTGGGACAAGCCCGCCACAACCTCCCAAAACCGCTGCAACTCCTGTAAGCCAGGATGTACAGTAGATACAACCATGAAAACACCGGAACACTGAAGTCCGGCGCGTCCCAGAGACATGAGTAACTGTCTTGGTTCCCGCAACGAAGTGAATCAGAAGGTATTTATAAGAGGAGAAGAAGAAAAAACTATAGTTTCCAATTCCCTCGGTGAATTAATACAGGAGACAGAATGAATTAAGCCTAAAGGCACAAAGAAGAGACTGTACAACTGGGTGAAGCCCAGTCGCCATCAAGCACCACGGAAATTTGACTAAAAACTAAGTGGGTCCTATGTGTGAGCTGTTATATTTGCTTCCAATAATAGGTATAGCAAAAGCGCCTAAACGCACGGAAATTTGTTCTAGATTCCACAAAATCCGTATAATAAGCTACACCTGACGAAACAATTAAATTATTTAACATAGTGTTACGTTCATATTGTCAGAGATCACACTCCCTGAGTATGTGATGGGCCGACTGCTCGTAATGCAATTCCACTGTCGAACATGTGAGGGTGTGTGTGTGTGTGTGTGTGAGGGTGTGTGTGTGTGTGTTTGCAAACATAGGAGAAAATACTAAAGTGGGACAGCATTAAAAGTGAGTGGTAATCAGTGCCACTGCCCTGTGGTAAGGGCGAATTAAATTCATTTGTGACCCCTATTTATTATTTTGTGGGTCACAAAAATGATTGTTCCGAGCATAAATCAGAACCATGGAGGCCACACAGCAGCTTGTCGCCTGCTTTTAAAGAGCAGCCGCCGTGATCACTTTTTAACAAGATGAGTCCTGGGACTGGCTTGAAACTGGACGAGGTACCTCGTCATATTGAAACTATTTTTTACATTACAAATGGGTCATAGTTTGGTCTCTACCTCGCCTGGAAGTAAGCGATGATGTCGCCATCCGTGGACCATGCCTAACTATAAGCAACCTATTGACTCAGTCTTTTTTTATGGAATAGGAGGCAAACGAGCAGACGGATCACCTGATGGTAAGCTATCAGCGCCGCCCATGGCAACACCAGAGGAGTCACAGGTGCGTTGCCGACCTTTCAAAAAGGAATACGCTCTTTTCTTGAAGGTTTGAAGGTCGTATCGTCTTGTACATACACAGATTATACTGTTCAGAAAATAGGAACTGGTACATAGCTTCAGTCTTCAGCTATTCTGATTAAATAAGTTCGAGGTGAATACGCTCCATGCATGCAGATAAGATACATCCTTACTAATCCTTACTATCCTTACTAAGTAATATTATAAATCGGAAAGTGAATTTGTTTGTTTGTTCCACTTTCACGCCGTAACTACTAAACCGATTGCTTTGAATTTTTGCAGATGTGAAGTTAAGTCTGGATTAAATAATAGGGTACTTTTTATCCCGGAAAAATTTGATATTCTCGAGGGAAAACGAAATTATTGGTATACATGGCGCTGTGTGTATAGGTATATATCACATAGGCTACTTTTTATCATTTTGTGACGCGAGCGAAGCCGCGGATAAAAGCTAGTAGTTTATATTTGTTTAATATAACTTACGGCGGGTTGAGGATCGTCCCCCGGGGCATCACGGTCGCGGTCAGCAGGCGCACCCGCGTCACCAGTAGCGCTGGCACCGCCGCCCCTCCTCTCCTCGCCTTCCACCAGCGCTAGGAGACGAGTCAGTTCCTCTTCATCAGCTATGCGCAGAGGAGTCTTTGGACCCACGATGGCGATGGACACGTTCTGCAAAAAATAACGTCTTTAGTAGAAAATTACTTGAAGGTCAGCCTAATTGGTGGCTGCCTCGTTGGCCGAGTAGTCGCAAGTGCGACTGCCGGGCAAGGGGTCTTGGGTTCGATTCCCGGGTCGAGCAAAGTATTACTGGGTTTTTAAAAATCTCAGAGGCAGCACGGAGTCTGGAAATTTGCCCGGTATATGGCAATAGGCTCACCCCTATTACATGGGTACTCCCACTTATAACATAAATAGTGAAAAGTGGGTGTTACATTGTACAGTGGCATTAAGTGCCGAAATGTGCACCTCTGCCTACTCCTTCGGGGATAAAAAGACGTGATGTTATGTAAAAGATTCTTTGTTTTATTTGATGGGCCGACGTTTGACCACTATCTCGCCTGTGTTGGTAAGCGGTGATGCGGTCTACGATGGAGCTCGTCTGCCCATAAGCAACTTATTCACTCGGGCCTTGAAGACACCCAGGCTTTTTTAATAATGGGGCGTAGTAACAGAATTTAGAGTCACAACAAGACTTTGAATCTACGACGGGGCAGTGATGTGATGCACAATGTAATACACACTTCTCACCAATTAAGTATGTTTGAGTCTTATCTAAAAGGGATGAACCTATTGCTTTGTACGAGCGCCTGATGGATATACCATAGCAACGACGTGTGCTTAGTACCTCTATAATGTTAGCAATTAAATAGTTGTATTTATTTTGTATGTACCGACGCTAATTTCTTCACTTGCTGTGCTGTACTCGTTGAGTTAACATCTCATTAAATTTCTACTTGCTGAGTATTTTTTTTTTTGAGTCTTTTCCTGCGAAGCCCTGGCCAATACATGCTTTGCCAGATCTCGGAATCCTTGCTCAGTATTTGCCACAGCTCAAGGAACAAGGATGTGTTGGTATAAATCAATGTAATACCTTTTATACTGGCAACATTGCTTCTAGTTGGTTAATTTTGTAAGATTACATTTCGGATTACATTTTTACATTACATTTAGGAGTAGTTTTTTTTTATTTATTCCTTCTGGCTGGAAACAAACTGAGTGATGACAAGATTAGTAATCTTTTTATTTATTAAATTAATTCAGGCAGGCAGTTTAAGAACTGATACATGCCTGTACCATATTTTTCTGTTAGTAGTTAATTATAGAAAAGGTTTTATTTATTTATTTATTTATTTTGTTAACTTAATAATTGACTGGTTAGTTGGGTTGCAAGCGTAACTGACCAGAAAGGGGTCTCAGTTTTAGTTCTTAGCTTTGGCTTAATATATGGCAATAGACTCTCACCCTATTGTTATAGTGTTAAATTAAACAAAAATATACATACCATAACATAATGTATACATAACATAATCAATCATCCCCAAAGGAAGGCAGAAGTGCAAATTACAGCATGTAATGCCACTGTACAATGTAACACCCACTTTCCACTAATTTTGTTACAAGTCCCATGAAATAGGGGGTGAGCCTATTGCCATACACTGGCCACAATTTCAAACTCTGTGCTACTACTGAGAATCTTTTTCCTTAAAACCCAGTAATACTTTGCCCGACTCGGGAATCAAACCCAAGTCGCACACGACAATGAGCAGACAAAAAAATCTTTATTAACATTAGCCCTACCTTAGTATTAAGATCCACTTCATTAGGCAAGGTATCTCTGAGAGCTCGAAGTCCATGAGCGACCAGCTCCTGAAGATCACAGTCCAGGAACGAAGTCAGGTGCTTCTCTAAGTAAGTACGAGCTGATTGTGACCGAGCTCCGATCGCCATCGCACGGCAATCGAAGAAGTTTGCTGATGGACAAGTCTGGTAGATATGTGGTCCTTGGTCCTGAAATCAAGAATAGGGATGATGACAGGATATGATAATTAAAACCAAATTAGTCTGTTTAGATAAAACACATGAAAGTTTAGGAGTGGGGGCTAAATCGTTATTTCTGATAATACTAATGTTTAATAACAAATTGTGATACAGCTTGGTCATAGCATCTCGGATCAAAATCCCTGGTTGTCCAAAACAATTCATGTGATATGAGACATTTATATGACTTGCAAAAGCTGAATTTGGTTTGAAATTGATAAATTACAGAAGGGCTAATATTTTATACTGATGACATACTGATGAATAAAAAAAACTATCTGTAATACTTACGTCGTAGCCAGCTACTAACAGTCCCACTCCCAAAGGCCTCTTGTCGTACCTCTGCGTACAAATCTGCATCTTGTTTCCAACTAGACCGATGAGACGGCCAACAGGCATTGGTGCATCGTGCGCATACTTGTGGTTAAGGCACTCGGTGCGCATGAAACGGCTGGAAATAATGGAATGCATAATTTGAGTAATGGTTAAATAATAATAAAATCTGTAATAAACCTTACATATGTAATAGTTAATGTGAACTAAAACCTTTTACAGTAGTTTCAGTTTGTAACAAACTGAAGTATTATTTATTAAAGAGACAGTTACTGAGATGGCCAAAGGTTACCATCGACACGACTTTGTTAAAAAATAAAAATCATATAATTATACATCTTCAAACATCAAAAGTTTGTATAAAATCTATTGTGATCTAATTAATAATAGTCATGTTATTTACCTCAACATTCTAGCATCAGCAGTCAAACCAGAGATAGAGATGCCAATATGCTCATCAATTGGAATAATTTTCTTCTGGTAAGCGGACAACTCGCTCACGGCCCGCTTGAGAGCAATGAGGACAGCATATTGTTTGTTCTTCAGACCTACGGTAGCTGATCCTAGCTTTACAGCTTCCATGGCATACTCCACTTGGTGGAGACGACCCTGAGGGCTCCATACCGTAACATCGCTGTCATACTGATTTCTGAACTGAAAAAAGTAATTCGAAATGAGTATTCTGTATGGCTGTATAAACGATTCCTTTGCCTGGACACTACAAGAATGGTTATCTGTTGTTACTGCTACATGACTTACAGAAAAAACGTAACGAAAATAGAAAGACGCTGTAGTTTATATATTTAGGTTATGATTCCGCATAATCAATGTTTAACCGACTAGAAATGTTCGTATTTCGGATTGTTACAATCAAATATATAGTTGTACTGTATTATTATAATGGTTTAGTATAACTAGTCACAGAAACAAAGGTAAAATACCAATTGGTAGCCGTGATGACGGCGCAAAATTGATATATTTTAAGTTTAATTCAATCAAATGTCACCGCATTTTCATATTAAAAGTTAATAGAAGTAAAAATAAAAGTGCTTACCATGTTGGAATTGAGTAATTGAAGTAAATTTCAATAATAATTCAGTTTTAGCTTCAAGAAAGAAGCCGACGGGAGACGATGATGAGTGAAATTTGTAATGTCAAAGTCAATTTTAGCTTTGTCAAACAAACAAAATTATTGTTACCAGATTACAAAAAAAAATCTACTGTAATTCTCGTAACGGAATAATTAAATCGGATTCAGACGTCCATTAATAAAACAGGTTTATTATGACTGCGTGTTCCTATACATTTATTAATAAGGTACCTATATCATCATTTTGTGAGGTTCAATTCAAGCCGTTCGAGGAATGTTCCCTTCGTTTAAACGTGTATCGTCGACAAGAGATGGCGTTACTAGTCCTTTCTGAACTGTATGTTTATTAAATTTATAATAGGTACTAGGTAGGTTTAAACACATTGTTCCTTATACATATTATTACTTTTTTTATTAATATAAAAAAATAAATAAAACAAAAACATATTCTCCATCTTCATCCTCATGTGTTGCAGGGCGACGCCGATTGCTTACTATCAGGTGATTCATCTGCTCCTTTGCCGCTTGTGTGGCATTCTAGACAAATATTTTTAGGGGGGATGGATGCACTAGCTAGCAAATTGTGGACTGGTCAGTCTGGCCAAAATCTGGCATCGCACTGTGTTGCAGGAAACAGTGGGCATCGAAATGACGTAGATTGGTTGAACATGAAGCTCAAGACCGGTCGCGATGTAGGATTCTGAGGACGCTCTCTCCCTTACCTAAGGGATAAGTAAAGCAAAGGAAAGCATGTGAAAAATTAAAAAAAAATGGGGTATTATTGTCACTAGGCATTTAAATGAACGACATAATATAAGGACTAGTTTGCAATTGAGTTGTGTTATATGTACCAAGAGTAAGTAACGCATGACGTTGTGTTAAACAACGTTGGAAAATCGCCCTTACCTACTAGTATGCCTACTGGTGTCAACAATACCAGTTCATCAGTCAGGGATGATCTTGACAAATCCTATATCTGACGCGTCACATGTCGTACGTGAGATCTCAAAAAAGTCACCATTGTGTTAGATCCTGAGAAATGACTGTTTATGAAAAGAATACGTACATACATACACAAAGAAAAACATTCTTTGAGAATCATAATTATTTGACCTACTTACCTACTTATAACACAACGTCTCGACTTTTAATGTTTAGATGTGCATAGTCCAGACTACAGATCCGATCAGGGTGCTTACTCTTGTAACCAATCTCAATGTCAATGCAATTGCAATCCAACAAAAACTTAATAATTATTTAATGTCAAATCAAAACTATACAACCCTTATCGTAGTTGTTAATATAGCATTCAGAGTACCTACGGAATATAAAGACAAACACAATACCATTTAGTTCATTCAATATCCACGCAATACGGATACAATGGGCGCTAGTGTTACAACTCAAGAGTACGAAATTTCACAATGTCAATGTCGATGAATCGGAATTGGATTCAAGAGTAAGCCCCCCGTTAAGGTTTCGGAAAACCGCAAGAAAATATCCAGCACCCAATATTTCAGCTAACCGAACCGTAGACCAAAGCCGCGGAGAACCTAACGGGTAACCGGGGCTCCGGCTCGACGTGCAGGAGAAGGAACGGGGTGGTTTTTAGTCAGTAAGAGTCTGACACTCCCTCCCGCCTCACCCAGGTGGGAGCAGTGATTCGATGATTTTCCCCCTTAAAAAAAAAGACCAAATGCTCAGATAAATTGTACCTACAAGACGAAATGCTCATTAGAATCGTACTTGCGACCAAACGCGCAACGAAGCAGTCGAATCCACTTACCTACTTCATATCGTTCGTAGGAAGTTTCAAGAAGAACATTCAGTTTTCATCGTCTTTTTTTTTAATGGGGGAAAATCATCGAATGACTGCTCCCGCCTGGGTGAGGCGGGAGGGAATATCAGTCTCTTACTGACTAAAAACCACCCCGTTCCTTCTCCTGCACGTCGAGCTGGAGCCCCGGTAACCCGTTAGGTTCTACGTACCTTTTATGTAGATCTCCTTACCAGTTATTTTTTTTATGAATTAGGCTGGTAAGCGAGCTGACGGATCACCTGATGGTAAGCAATCGCCGCTCATGGACACCCGAAACACCAAAGGTTTAACAAGTGCGTTACCGGCCTTTTGGGGATTAGGAATTTGAGGATTGTTGGGGATTTGTTACGTTATGAACCGTTACATTATCTTATAGTACGTTATACAATTCTTCTGTATAAAAATCAAAATGAAATACTATCGTCTAAATATATTATTTCTGTCGACTTTGACTTTCTTTAGTAGGGGTTCAAAATACCTATCCTATCACCCGCATTGCGTTCCAATTTACGGTATAAAGATCACACTGATTCGTTTTTTGCGAGAAACCACTTAGCTTTGTAAGTTGATTGATTGATTCCTTAGATTTTTGCGTTAAATGGAACGTTGTACTGTTTTCTTTTGTGGCAGTGATCTTGAGGAATTATTCTTTTAAGATGTTAAATGGAAAGTCGGTCAAATCGATTCGATTGTTTTGTTGGTTGACTGACTTTAAGTACTTAAGGTATTCGAAGTCAAACAGTAGGGGCATTAGGTTAGGGAAAATTAAGTACTGGGTTGGTATTTTTTTAATTCGATATATCAAATAGGCTTACAAAATTAGTAATAGTGATCACTATTATAGTAATTATTGATCTAGTTCTAAAAATGTCTAATTACGTAATTGGGGAAAATTAGAAGTACCTACCCTATATTCACCAAACCACCAGGGCCCCATCATCAGAAGGCCCCGAAGTAGGTACTGACAATTTCTACGGAGCAAATCTTTTTGTACTCCACAAATTGTTGTTTCGGGTCATAATTATGTATACTTGTATGTTTGTAAATTCACCTACGATACAGGAGAAAATCCTAGTGGCAACGTTGAAAAAAACAAAAAAGACATTACAAATGGGCCCCGAGTTATTGTATTCGTAGACGGCCCTGCCGTATAAAAAAATTATAGAGTCCGAATACAACCTAATACAAAGATGAATGCAGTAACTGAACTTGCTTTTAGAGAACCTCTTTGAAATGTAAGTACCTAAAAACGGGGTGCGGTGCCAGAAGACCTCCCCGTGGTGCACCCTGGGTGCGGGCGACAGTCTCCCTAGCGGGGGTGATAGGGTTGGAGTGACTGTCGCCCGCAGCAGACTTCTGGACTGGGCGGGCGAACCCGATAGGGTTCTGGAGGCGGCGGGCTGTGTGCTCATAGCCCGCGCTTCCGAGGGGCGTTTCTCCGCCCGTCTCTCTGGAATAGCAGAGAGCGTGGCGGAGAGGCAAGGGCGGTGCTCGTTGTGCACTCACCCTGCCAGCGAGCAGCATCGGGACACAAGCTGTCCCCGATTGCAGCCGTCGATATCGTAATCCGTAAGGAGATCACGGTCATGTTTTGTGACTCTGAACGGGACGAGGGTCTTGGCTTGGTCGCCCGGACCGCGAGGAAGATAACCTCTATAAAAAATTCCTCTAATACTAAGTTCTGGTGCGCGGCGAGAGTATGCATGGCTGAGGAGTAGTGTCAGTCGCGAGCGCACCCCCAGCTAGGGGACCAGTGGAACCTCTAGTTGGGAAACAAATGAACACTTACCCAGGTACAGGGGGCACTGCCTGGGTGGACCGAATATTTCCCCCATACTCGTGGGAACTTTATGGAGAAAATCAAAAAAAAACCACAACCGGAGGAGGAGAGTGCGGGTGAGCTTGGCTCGCCTGCGTAGCGGAGAAGGGAGCCCAAGTGGCTCCGGGACTCGTGGTGAGGCGCTGGACTCGTCCAGCAGGCCCCACACACGGGAGTCTAGTCGAAGGGGGTCGGACTCAGAGTCCGACACAACATTGGCGGAGCGGCTGAGCGTGAGCTCGAAAGGCTCACGCCGCCGCGCGACGGGGACGTTCAAACGCCCCAGGCTGGAGGAGGACAGTTTGTCCCCGTCCTCCGGCGCTCAGGAGGCGCCTCCCCCCAAGGTCCCCACGGCAGCGCGGGGTAGGGGCGGCAAGGGCAGCGGTCGCCGGAAACCGGCACCAGCTGCCTGCGCGGAGTCAGCCGAGCAGCTGGCCGCGGAGGGCAGGGCTCTCTCAGCACTGCCCGTCGGAGTCCTCTGCGGCCGAGATGTCCGGCGTGGAGATGTCGGAGGGCGAGCGCGGCTCTGAGAGCGAGAGCTGCTCCGGGGGCCTCCAACAGGCCATTACGGCGGAGCTCTACAAGCTGGCGATGGGGAAATCCCAGCCGGTTAGGCTCCGCCTCCTCAGGGCGGCGGCGGCCACAATAACGGAGGCGGCCTTGGAGCAGTGTGCGGTGCCCACTGCGGGAAAGGTGCGCTCCGAGCTGGCCGAGATGCGGCGAGAGCTGGCGCGCTTGGCGGCCTCCAATGCGGCTCTGGAGGCCGAGCTGCGGACGGCCAGGGCCGAGCTCGCCGCTGCTCGCGGCAGTCGCCCCCAGCCCCCGGCGGAGGCCGACGTAGTCGGACTGCTGCGGGCGGAGTTGGCTGCCTTCCAGCGACGTTTCGACGTGCTGGAGGGCAGGCTCTTGCGCCCCCCACTCGCGGCG